AAAAAAAAAAAAAAAAAAATCACACATTAAAGACCTCAACAATACAGAGGGAGAAGAATTCTGTGATTGTCCAGCTTGAAATACAGCAACTCTCATCTCTTTTTCCTATTTGTGAGAAAAACTGCCAACAGCATACTTTACTAAGTCAGCAGTTTGTTAAGATTTTCTTCAGAGGCCTTAAAGCCTCCATTTATCAACATTCTGAATTTACCCAGCAAAAGCATACCAAACCTCCTTGCAGTTAAAGAACAGAAGAGGGGGGGGGAAAGGAAGAAAAAAAGGAAAGAACAATGTAAAAAAAAAGAAATCACTAATGTGACTAGTTTCTCAAAATACTACAATAAAGCAGGAAAAAAGGTAAAACACCAAACAACATTATTTAAATAGGGAAAAACATGGACTAATTAACAGACAAACTTATTTTCACCAGGAAGCAAGTGTCTGGATTGCAGGACGACATCACCACTCTGCCTAAAATTCCACATGGAGTAGAAGAATCTGCCTTGTTGCATCTCTGAAGGGCTCCTACACTTCCCAGTGACTAATATGCTTTTTATATCTAGCAATGGAAATATTCCAATTTCTCATGTAAGAAGCTGGAACAGGAAGACAAAAGCTTGCAGACCTCCTAATACCAGATTTGCATGTACCTCCCCAGTCTATTTGATCTTTTAAATGCTCTCTTTTCCTTTAGTGTCTCATTCTTGTCCTCTCTATGATTATTTTTCTGTTTCCTTTCTCTTTCCTTGTACTTTTCTTCCTTTCCAGTCCTGCATCTTCTCTCACTCAATGAGTTTTTTGATTCTTCTTTCTTATTTTCAGTCTGCTCCTACACTTTCCATAATCTCTATCTGTCTTGGCATCTGGCCACACACTGCTTGAGAAAATATTTTCCCAAAGACTGTTCATATCCACCACGTCACAGAAAACATTTTCATGGATAGAAGAGCTATTATTTTAATAGGAAAAAAAGATCATGATAGCAACATTTCATTATTCATCCAAGAATTCTCAAAAGAAAGAAATGCTTATACAAATAGTAGCTGTTTGTCATGTCTGGATCAAGCTATCAAGTATTAAAAAGAAAACTCAGTTTAATAATTTGAAATGTTTCTCCAAGATCCAACCACAACTCAAGTCATATGAACAGGGATTATAGGATTATAGGAGTGAAAAGAGATGAGATTATAGCACCAAAGTGCACCTCAACAAGGAAAAATACTAAGGTGCTTTTTAATCTAGTGGAAAAGGGCTAAAAATCCAAACTAGAAATAAACAGTGAGAATGTTCAACTAGAAAAATTAATTACTGGGGAAAATGATGAAATGTTTCAAATGTTGAGCTTCTCCAGATTACGATCCAAAAGCTTTCCAGGATTTAAGGTCAACAGAAGGGTAAGGCAGCCATGCACTTTGATATACACACAGTCAAAGCAGATGATCTAATGGTGTATTTTGGGCTTAATGTCTATGAAAATAAATTCCATAGTAAGCAAACACCCAACAAACTCTGCATGTCTCTTCAGGCTGGAAAGTATATTCCACAGAGGTTTGTCGCTACTACACAAATAAAAGAAAGAAAACCTTCAAAGAGGCTTTTACTCAGACCAGGTCTTTGTAAGTCAAAATGCCTTTCTTGGTTTCTTAAAATAAGAATTGCAAAAAGGTAGGAGACTGGAAATTGCACTGGAGGGAGCAAAAGTAGAAAACCCCCCTACAAAACCTTCAACCCAAAATACTTATTCCAAAGATGGTTAGAGAAAACTTGAGGTCTTTCTAGTAGACCCTGACACAAGGTAAATGTAAGGACAGTAAATACCAATAGAAGTAGAGCACATCCCTTTCCAACTGAAACAAGTCTGTTGTTAGAAAATGCTTATTCTGCTTACTTTAGTTGCTTTTAATTTCCACTCGTATTGATTTCTTTCATTTTCCAGCTCTTCCACTTTAATTTTGAGGTGCCTAAGTTCCTGCAGCAAACCCTGCAAAGGAAGAACAGCAGCTAAAAGTAAGATTTCTCTGGCAGATATTAATTCTTCATAGTCCTGAATTAAAGATCATGCATGAAACACACAGTAAATGGACACTGAACCACCACACTAAAAACTGTGACCAGTCTAAGAGGTTGTCCCTTAAATGTCCCTTCTCCCTTTCCTTTACATCTTATTGTTCATTCTGAAGGACAACATTATTAAATCCTTGATGGAGCTCTGACAAGACAAAAAGTCTTAAAGTGAACTGAGGAAAAGAAAAATTTGCAGGCAACCCAATTTTGGAATTCCTGTGTAGCATATACAGTAAGCATACACATTAATATCTTGGATTACAAAAAAATTTATTTTGAATGACTCCCAGATTTGACTCTCAGATTATTTCTCCAATCTGCAGTTTGTCCTGTAGTCTGATAGTCCATTCAGCAGTTCTGCACAAAGGCAAGCTCAGAAACAACAGCCCTATTTTCAAAATAGGTGTCATAATGAAAATAGTTATTTTTGTAATATAAACCCATAAGAGAAATTAGTAAAAAACTCCCTCACAATATAAGCAGATTACTTATGAGTTCTGGTGATTCAAATTTTAAGCAACTAAATTTTAAAGGCAACTAAAGCAATCTGATTTAAAAACAAATATTAAAATGGTCTTTTCCAGGCATACCAGTGTCATTCTACCTCCAGTGAATTTAAGCACTATATGCAAAGTAGCTTTTGTTTTGACATGTGACATATTTTTGATCAAATACAACCAGTATCTGTCATGCAAATTCAGCAATGCTTTCCTGGTAACTGCTAATGTCAGGGATTTAAAAAAAAAAAAAAAGAAAAAAAGGTGCTGGATTTGCTATTTTAAAAGTACAAGCAGATTATTTTTACTATGGCTCTTTTAATTCACTTTGACATTATCATTAGGAAAAGAAAGGATACGTGTCAGATAGTCTTAGTTGAAGCCATTTTATACTTGTGTTAAGCTTTTAAGATATTCAGGATTCAATAATCTGTGTTCAGAGGACTGTGAGGGTGCACCATCAAGCACAGCTGGGGTGACATCACCATGAGGAAAAGTAGCAAACCACCAAACCATGCTGGCATGCTGCGTATCAGACAAATCCCAACCCAAAAATAAAAAAAAAACCCCAAACCACACAAGCACTACAGATTTAAAAGTAAAATGGAAACTAAAGAAAAACCTGAAAGGGGTGATTGGGTCTTACAGGTATCTGTGTTTTAGCAGATAGCCATCAACGGTGACCAAATTTGTCCCGATAATCAGGGGTGGGGATTTTTTTTTCTGGTAATTTTTATGACACTCTCACTCTTTGCTAAGGAAAGTCACAAAGATTAATGCCAAACATTCACATCATAGCTCTGGTTAGTGGGATTTAGTTTGTGCAAGAGAAGAGAAGAGGCAATACACAGGCTTCTGCCAAGGGGTACTTCTCGTACATCACACCAAGAACAATTCTTCTGGCTCAGAGTCTCTACTGATCTTGGGCCAGATTGAGGACCATTAGGTGTCAAGTCTGGTTTCCTATCTTGAGACTTTCTTTCTTGGATTCTACTATTAATTTCCAGCTGCAGTCTACACATCTGCTCCTGTAGGTCACTGATCAGGTTCACTACTGACTGAAAACATGGGAGGAAAGGAAAAAAAAAAAAAAAAAAAAAAAAAAAGACAGGTGAGAAAGAAAATGATGCAAAGAAGATATCTTTGTAGTTGCAGCACAAAGAAATACACGAAGAAAAAAAAAGACAAAAAAAAAAAAGACAGGTGAGAAAGAAAATGATGCAAAGAAGATATCTTTGTAGTTGCAGCACAAAGAAATACATGAAGCACATCAAAGGCAAACTAAAAAAAGACAGATTATGTGTTTCCCTTCCGAAAAAGCATAAGCAAACTGGAATACTGCACAAAGCTACAGTTTAAATGGAACAGAATCTACATTCCAGACAATTTCATGATTCTGATTCTAAAGTTAAAATCAGAATTTGGTTCCTCATTTTTGGAAACTTTTACAGTCACATGAAGTCAAATAAAGGAAAATTTGGAACATGTTTTGATATGCTGGCTCAGAGGTACACTTTTGCTGAAATAGGACTTGATTACATTCATTTTCACTGCCAAATCATCCACTAGGAAGAAACTGCAAAGTGCTCAGTTGGGGCCATAACCTACTTTTTCACAATTTATACACATAATTTACAAGTAAAGTAATTCTGTTTCCATGTCCAGCATGGGGCAGAAAAGTAACTCCATTCCCTCTCCTGCTATCTGGGCTGGATCTTGACATGGAGAAGGAGTTAAGAAACATACTTAGGAGAAATCAAAGGATACTACAGAAGAAAAAGTAATTACTTTAACGTGTGCCAATTTGCTGGTCAGCTTCTTGGATTTGTGTGTATCAGTGATACACACACAAAAATAGCCAGCTCAGAAAGCAAACCAAAGTCAAGTATTAAAATCTATATAACATTGCACCTAAGCCCCCAAACTCTGTAGCAAAGAGAGCTGGGTATTTTCTCAGGTATTACAAGTTGGGAGTGACTCTCTCCTGGCTTTCATGTACATTTAATAACATATGTTTTGTGATTTCTCAGCCTTCTCAAGTGGAATAAATTTGATGAGCTTAATCCATCTCCCAAAGGAGCGGAAGAGATTTTAGTGGACAGAACAACAGATAAAATGGCAGGATGTTTTTTTTTTTATTTTTTTTTTTTCATTACAGTGCACAACAGTCATTCTGTAACCTCAGCTCTCTGGTGAATCAACAGTCTCAAATCTAGGGAACGGCTACTGCATGGACAGGACACTATTCTGACCAGGCAAGTATTAACACAACCAATCTCACACTGCATCAGCATCTGCAGCCAACTTGGAACATTCACAGTGACGTACAAAACGTGTGTACAAAGTTAGGTATGAGAGCTTCACATGTTTAAGTATTTTTCTTAGGGCTTAAGATGTGGGCTTAAGGTGTGCTTAAGATGAAAGTCAGAAAAGCAGTTACATATATTTCACTTTATATGTATTATTGTCAATCGGGATCACAACGTCTGATGCTAATCCTCTGTCATCCAGCAAACATTTAAGCCACATAAATGAGGAGTAGTTCCATAAACAATCAAAAAATTTAGGAAGAATACTGGTCCCTAGCAGACCAATTCTGCAATATCCAGTATTATTTAGGCTGGCATGTTTTGCCAGGGCTGCACATGTTAAGGACAGCTCCCCGAGGTGAAAATATTCATTCAAAGGACACAAGAGTCACTTTACAGCCACACAGTAAGACACTAGCAAGGGGAATATCCCCCCAGCTAACTCATCCTCTACACTACCAGCTGTCTGTACAATTCAGACACTATCCACAACATCTTCCATACTTGGATTTTGTTTCTTTTCTTACCCTCATCTCCACAATCAGGTACCCCACTGAGCAGTACCAGCTGGGAATTGGAATTGTCAGGACACATATCCATCTCCCTTGCTTTCTTTTAAGCACCAAGGCTTGGTCTGTGCTTGTCTGTGACACAGACACTGTTAACCCAGACGAGGTTGTGTTCCTGCTCAAACAGGATGCACAGACTTCTGAGCACAAACTGAGAGCTGCTCCAGCTGTGGCAACATGGGGGAGTTCAGAAGCACTTCTGGTGTCGACTTGCAATTCTTTTCTCTTTTGCCTCACATTAAAAGTGGGAATGGGAAACACTCTGTGTCCACACAGACTGTCCTCAGGGCAAACTTGACAGTACAGATGAACTCCAGCTGCAATATGTACCTTTACAGTTGCTTCTATTTTCAAGGTAGGACAGGCTTCTCATTTTTGAGATTCTTTCACAGCATGAACATTTATTAACACTAACATATGACATCTTGATTCAGATGGGACAACACACCAAATTCCCCAGTGAGAGTCAGTGGCTCACTGACTCAAGTTTCTTTGGAATTGCAAGTAAGTTTGCACTAGACATTTAATTCAGAAGTTACAAGAGCCACAAAATACTTGCCAACAGTTTCTAGCCAAAACCACAGCACCTATCCCATGCTAAAAAAGAAAGCAGTAGGATAGAAGAAGGGCTTTGAGGCAAGTTGAATTGGACAATTGCTACTGCAGTCTCTGGACAGTGACATAAAGTCTCTTTTGTCCACGTTTAGGTAGAGCAGGGATCTGGGCTGCTGTTAATCACTTGATAATGCCCCTCACTCATACCTTGCTACATTAAAAACCCCGTATTTTCAAAATTTCTGACACAAACCCCTCAGGTGAGACTTCAGAAACCTTCAAAGCATTACTGTGGCAAAAGTAGAAGAGCAAAGGAATTGAAATGACAAAGCCAAGAGTGAGACAGTCCATTTACAAGCAGCTATTCTCCTGGCCCCTGTGTAATATATATAAATAAATGGCACTTTAAATTTAGTATGTGCTTTTGGAGAGCCAGAGACAAGTGGCATTCAGTGTGAAATCAATACCTTTGAGAGGAGGTTAGAGATGCTTGATAAACTCTTTGCTGCTAACTAAAACCAAATCCAAATGACAGCTGCACAAGATAAAGTGAAACGAATCTGACACATTAAAACTTGCTCATATTTAGAAGGGTATCTTAATTTGCTTTGTTTCCTCCCAACCCAACCAGAAAAATAATTCTATAGATAAAGCCTATGTGACTGGAAACAGGTGCTGTGAAATAAGCCAGCACAAAATTAGAACACAGAGCAAACACAGTTTAGCTGAATTATTCTGCAATGCCACATTTAATTTTAAACTTCTGAAAACCCATTATTATATTTAGAAATAGCAGGGTCAGCCATGAAGTATAATTAACAAGCTGTTTAAAATGGTTTAACTACTGGATGCCTTTGTAACACATGCATCCACGTGAAAAAACTGATAGTAGCAAATCCATCAAATCACTATTCTGATCACCTTTGTCAATCCTAAACTCTGGCCAGCTGCAGTCCACGAGAAAGGGTTTTGCTCTGCCAACCACAGCTTTGCTCCACTCATGCAAAAAAAAAAAAAACCAACTAACTGCAGTTTCATTTGAGGCATTACACACTGTAAGAGCATGTTGCAGTGGCCATGATGTGCAGAGATACAGTTACAGCAAGATTAATTTCATTTGATCACTTGTCACTTTGGAAAACTGTCTCACTCTGAAGCAATGAGGTGACCAGAACACACCTGTGTGTGCAAACCACAGGTAGACTGTTTGTGCATGTCAAAGTGGTTTACTCACTAGAAAGAGGAGGCAAGAAGTTTAGGAGAACAAACTATTACCAAATTTAAGCAGCTGTGGTTTAATAAAGGAAACGTATTAATAAATTTCATTCTGATGTTTGAAATTGTGTCTGTATCAAAAAATTAGTACAATTTACAGGAAGCAAAGCTGAAATAGGGTTAAAGCATTAGAATTCAAATAAGGATCCTATTTGATTGGAAACAACCCCTGTTTGTCTTGCTATATTGGATTACTGCTTATTCAGGATAATCTGAAATAATCATACAAGTATCTCAACAAGCAAACCAAAAATGCTGTTTATTTCCCAAAGCTTCACCTACGACATCCATTTTCCTTGCTTTGCACATACACATTTTTGACTTTCAACAGGCCAGAAATCTAATCACATCCTGGGGTAGTTAATAATTCAGCGCATACTTAACACAACGATTCTCAGCTTTTCCATCAGATTAGAATTCTTTTCCATCTCAGCAGGAACCTGTCCTATCACTTAGCAGTACAACAAAGGCTTCCAGGCGAACAAAGCTCAACTTTTCCACCCAAGGGGGCACACACACCTTCCTCCAGCGGCAGAAGAATTCCACAGGTCACCCTCATCACAGAACCAGACCGATGGGCTACTCAAAAAGTCCTGTCAATAAAAACGCACCCAAAAGCTTAGCTGCTTTCCAGGAGTCAGGCTGACTGGGCATTCTCATCCCGGTATTCCACACGTCATGAGAAGAGCTGAATGCCTCTCCCTCGGCTGCTGGGAGCAGGCTCCCATCTGCAGCAATTAGGAGCTGCTCAGACCTGTTCAGGTTTTCAGGTACTATGGAGGTGCTCAGACCTTCTGTACACACAAAGCACTGACAATTAAGCGTGAAAGAGCATGAGAAGGGCCACAGATGGTAAAAGCAGCAGCTGGTGCCTCTCTGGCTTGCAAGCTCTGCCAGGAATTGCTCTCTTTAAGTTATCTTTTGATCTCTAAAGAAAACTTCAGAGAATAAATAAGCGGGAAAACAAACACACCCCAAATGTGTTATGTTGGTGCAGTTAAATTACCGATGCACAGTTATCAAATATTTCACCAGCAATGTTATGGAGAGCAAACAGTCTGCCTGGATTTCAAATTCTCCTGAGCCAATACGGAACAAAGTTTTGGGGTTTTTTTTCAGTCAGCAATGTATAAATCTCAGACAGTAACCCTTCTTTTCCAGGTAATCCTCTCCTGCTAGTTGGTCCCATTATAGGACCACTGAGGCAGGCAACACGTTTGTATGAATTCTCTCTTCCAGGATTGCTTTCCTTCCCAGCTCCCACCTGCTACCCACTACCATGAAATGGGTGTTGTTCAGATGATGTTTCACATGTTCATTCAGTATGTTTCATACTGTCTTTCTTAACCAACACAGCAAAAAGCAAAGCTCCTTTGATGTCCAGAACTCTCCACATCTGAAGGGAATTGCCTCCAGTCCATGACTTTTTTTTTTTTTTTTGCATTATTTATCATGTAACCACATGGCAAAACACTCATTTGAGGCAAATGCCCTGGCCCATGTCTTTCCCTCCCAAGTGCCACAAATGCATTAAAATCCCCAAGTCTGATCATCTCGGTGCTTGTAGCACCACTGATACTATTGAGCCCGACAGTCTTTTCTGCCACACAAACAAGGAAAGAGCTCTGGTAGGAATGCCAGGTCAGCTCCTGTGCAAAGGAAAGGGTTAAATGAACATCAACTGTAATATATGCTTCTGGAAGGGACTGTGCCTTGATTAAAGCCAAACAAGCAAACTCTGAAGTATAATGACAGAGGGGAAAAGGAAACCACATCCCAAAAATGCATAATCACACTCCTCACTGAATTCATAGGATCAATGATACGGGCTGTGCTGTGAGCATGGAAAACCCTATTGCATGCTGACCAGCTCAAAAGCTCAGGTGTGTGACACCACATCATAGACACGTGATAGAAAAAAACGTAAAAACAAGCTAATGAAAAAAACAAAACTCACCTCAGCTTTGTTCTGTTTCTCTTCATATTCACTCTGTTCCTTTTCCATACCAACCAGCTTAATCTTCAGGTCTGAAACTTCAGCCATTAGATCTAATTTCTGTGTCTCCAGCGATGTGCGACTCAGTAGTTCCTGAATGCAAGGCAGAGTATTTTCTCCAGTTATTTATTTGAACACTGACAGACTGCAACGTAATTTATTGGCAGGCCCACAGTGAAGTCCCTACCCCACAGTTGAACTGTGTGTTTCTCAAGTGCTGAAGTTATTTTCATCTAAATGTTCTTCTGTGTTAATCACTAAACCACTGTGCCCCACTCCTTATTTCAAGAAAATGTGTGGCAAAGTTAATCCCTGGGCAAGACATGAAATCGAGAACAATACCAAGGCTGAACAAACACAAACCTACATAATGACACATTACAAAATAGTTGGCATCTTCCTAAAATACCCATCAGACAAAGCTATGCTTTAGTATTACATTGTAGACCTTCTTGTCATTTGTTATTCAATACAGGACATGTTACAAAATGAGAACCCTAACAAAAATACCAGATTGACAAAGACAAGCAATGCTTCTGCAGTCACACTAATAGTACTTGAGAGCTTACACCATGTAGTACTTGATAACTTTTGAAGGCTACACACTGTGGAGGGAACAGCAGTGAATGAAAGGGGTATGTCCTGACTGGAACTAAAAGGCAATCTCTAAACTGAGTAACAGTGAAAAGGAGAAACAACTGGCCTTGACTTTTGCTTTTGTGCCCCAGGCTTGTTTTTCAGATTGCAGAGAAGACATACTTTGGATGGAGTCATCTCACTGTCTTTGGAAATCATTCAATATTCACACCTTCATTGCATATATATATAAAATGCTCATGTTGGCCTCTATTTTCCAAAAGTCCATTCTGGAGTTTAAGCCTTACTTGAAAAATTCATACCTAAACTTTCCAAGTGCCCAATTAATTTTTTCAAAAGGATGTTCGTTTCTAAATGGTTACAAGTGTTTACGGTAATTCATAAATCACATTAGTGTTTTGATCACACGAAACACACTGAGGAATCACGGCTGATTCTGCTTTGAATTACATGGAAGTGACTTAACTGAAGCTGCCATAGTTAATCTGGGTCTATGCTGATGTTACTGAGTGATCAGAATCCCCTTGTCCATCACCCTTTTCTCACCTCTTTCTCTCCCATAAACTGTACAGTGTGTTGTAGACCAGGGGTTGGAACCAAGGAAGCCACAAAGGTTAATTTAAAAATTATACAGCTAAGGTTTGTTTTGAATCCCAATCTGCCCTACATGTGAATTGGTTTAGTCTGGTGGGGAATACTGCCCAAATTAAAAGCAGTACTAAACTTGCATCGGCATTGCAACACCAATTATCTAAATCACCACTATTCCCAGTGCCATGCCCATTCCTGCTGACATCAGCAATGATATTTGTGTATGGATAGGAAAATCAACAAAAATGTAGCCCCGTGGTTTGGGCTTTTTTTTTTCTCTTCTTCTCTAAATGAAATAAATCAAGCACTAATCAGGAAAATATATTGCACTGACTTTTATTATTGAGAAACTACAAGAGGCAGTTACCTAATGAAATCCCAGGAGTAGCTGCTTTCTACAAAGGTGATTGCAAATTACAATTATAATTACAAATACCTCCTCTATCTTCCAGAAAAACACTAACTTGCATGAATTTCAGAGGCACATTTCAGTCCACACTGGAACAGGCTCTGTACAGCTGTTGACATAGCAGACTACTGCAGCTTAAGACATAGCTATAAATGAGAATTTTGATATGAAGAAAGGCCAGTGAACATCAGAAAAGGTAGCAGGATGAGGCAACTCTGGCCCTGTGGACAGACTCTATTCAGTATTGGACTAAAACAACACTTAGACTTTGTTTTGGACACTGACATGATGTTCCATGATATGAGAGAAGGATTTCTTAATAAGGCAAGGAGACACGGCATCCCTCTGGAGATTTTTAACAAAAGATCTATCCTTTGAATGCACCATCTGGCATTACTCCTTATTTTTTTTTTCTATAGACTCCTAAATGACACTAAGTTATGCAATGCAGAGCAATACACACTCACTGCTCTCCTTCCAGATTCAGTAGCTCCGTGTGAACACGAAGGCACCACCTGGTATAAGTGAGCATGAAGGCAGCTGATTTTCTTTTTTTTTTTTTTTTTAATCAGCTCTAACAAAATTTTGCAGTTTGCTCTCAAGCTGGAGAATCAGATTCCCAGCTAGAGTAAACTGGCACAAAACTCTTGACTTAAAATAGACAAAACAGCTAACTATCCCTAGTTTGTTTTCAATGGAGCTACACTGATTTAAAACAGCTGACAATTTCTCTTGCATCTAGAGAATCTAACTTTTGCTTTGAAAGCAAGTGCCGTTTAAAGTAAATGTCCCCTCTTGAAATGGTAACATCTGGAAGCAATTATTTTCATCTTCAAGCAGATGCTCACAGTGAACAGCTCATTAAGAATGTGACCCATTTTGTTACAGAGAAATTATAGTGTATTTCAGTGGTATGATGCAACTTCAATTCGGCCAGAATAAATATGCAATTGTAAGAAAAGAAAACACAAATTTATGTTATTGATTTTAAAGCAAAAAAAGAGATAATACAAGACAGGCAAAGTGGTAATTTGCGCTGTAGCAGCTTTAGAAGGATCCTAAAGAGCTGAAATACAGAACAGAAATAGAACATATCATAGGGAATCTTCTTTAGAAACAAGATACTTCGTTTTAGTTTTAATTTTAAAATGTACTATAAGTATAATTTAATTTCTTAAAGTTCTTTGTTCGAAACTCAACCTTTAACTTTAAAAATTAAGGGAAAAAAGTTATTTTTGAGTAGAATAATTACAAAGATGAATCATCAAGGAACAGCAAACTATTTCCAAATACAAACGTATTTTTAAAATCCACACTGTATACTTCTAAAACACTTAACCGACTTTTCCAATATTCCCAATGAAACTGCAGCATATGCTCTATATCTCACATTCACATTTCATCCTCTTGGAAATACATAATTCTTATAAAGCAGCTTATAAAATTTAACATGACAGAAAACAGCTTGAAAAGAGGACCCTACACTTTTCTAGGGTGTCAGCTGCAAGCACAGAAAATTCCAGGATATTTAGCTCTTCATAAAACAGAAGAAACAATCATGCCATACACTGATTGAGAAACCACAAGTAAGATTTTAGTTGAGTGTGGGGGGGGGAAGAACCCCCCCGAAGATCCCATTTTGCACTTGTGCACCACACAAAATACAAACATTCAAAAAATTCCTAACTTTTCACGCTTATTAAAAGAGTTGAGAGAGAGAGAGACAGACCAACCGACCTACCTGGTAAGCAACATCCAGCCAGAGCCACCACTAATGAGGACTGCACTTCTCAAGTGCTGTGTGTCAGCTGTGGTAGAAATAAGATATTTGCTTAGCTGAAAACACAGCTGAGAGCAATGTACATCTGTAATCACCATGAAATGGTGCAAGTCAGTAGCAGTCAGTGAATTACAGCCCTCCAATTCATCATCTGCCCATTATGTAGCTAAGCAAGGGAAAGGACAGAACTTCCCACTGCACTGCCACTTCGAATCTGCCTGACCAGCAGGACTCCTGCCTACGTTAGCTGCAAAATAACAAAGCAGTGGAGTGCTCACCTGTACAGATAAGCTGGACAACTTGAGAGAAACACTCTGAAAACCTTATGGCTCACACCAGAGCAGCACAGAGCACACTTGAAAATCTGAAACGCTAAGCCAGCTGCTGGCAAGAAGTTACTGCATGCTATAAACAAGTGCTGAAATTCATCTAAGATCAGATAACTCAGGCAACTGAAAGTTGAAGGAATGATCTTTGCCAGCCAGCAATGTTCCTGAGAAGCAAACAGATACACACCAGATTTATACCCTGCAACCAAGACAGGATTCTGGCTCCCCTGACTATAAGACAACTGCAAAACCAGAGCAGGTACACACGAAACGGCATTGGATTCAAGTTCCTACTCTCATACAGCTCCTCCCTGCCTTCTTCTAATCCACTGTTTTTTAAAAGATCCTCCACCGTGCCCCACACAGGGCACTGTCTGCCACACCTTCCCCTGGCCCTTGCACTCAAGGTAGAAGTGGGACATAAACTGACGCGAGAAAAGAGATCCACTCCTGCTAGCATTCAAACATTTCAGTTTCTTTTGTTTATTTTTTAAGATAGAGTCCTAAAACCAAGTGCTTTCTACATTGCAAGATAATTTACTTCACTGAAGACAAAACTGAGTTTACACAACACAACCATGCAACAAGAGTCCCTTGGACTGCATCTTGCAATTATGTGTCAGAAATAATGTGGAAGGCAGAAGGACACGGTCAAACCACATCCAGGATTTGGTACAGATCAGCTACAGGAAAGACACTGCCACACAGACCAGTATTTTCATTGGCAAAACAAACTGCTATACTTTATGCCAGAGAGCTTCAATGGGAATTAGCATCTGTTAAATAAATCAAATGCAGCTCTGGAATAGCAAAGAGGTAACTAACTAATCTTACAATAACTACCAAAAAATACACGTGAAAGAACTGTGGAGGTGAAATCTGTATGTGCAGAAAATTCACTTTTCAAACTGACTTAACTCAGCTGTCAAGCCTGACAGCACAGATTCCAGAGCACCGATGTGTTTACATTAGGCATGGCTGGTACTTTCTGCTATGGGACAGTTTAGGCAACTTTACAGAGCAAAATTTCCTTCTGCTTTCCAATTCTACAGCAAGTTGATAGGAGATTCTCCCAAGGCTAACACAGCAATGTTCAACATCCTCTTTTCTCTTAGAAAAAAATATATTTCTTTCTTAAAATTGACTGGAAGAAAGTACTTAAGTGATGCCACAAAGTAACTTGGAACAAGACACACATACATCACTGCTTCCTAAAACTGGCTGTAACTTTACATTTTAAAGCAGTTGATATACTGGAAATGGATTATGTCACAGCATATACTGTTTTCACAGGATAATTCTAGGCAGTTTTTTTCTTTTATTTTTGACATATTCATTACAATGTGCTAAGGGGAAATGCAGGTAACTATTCACACAGGCCAGCTTTTCCATATCATTTACACATTTAACGGCAAGACAGAGACACCACTGGAAGGCAACTCGATGAGATCAAACTTGTGTGTTGCCCCCAGTCATGCTTGAGAAAATTTTCTCTTACCATTTACTATGAAGGTTGACCTTGTTTCTTGGCCCAAACAAGAATCATATTTAAAGAGTGATCTGAAGTTTTGTCATTGACTTTCTTGAGTTTTTGAAAGACCTGCTTTGTTTTTGAAGAAAGAAAATGCAAACACCTTCAAGGTGAAAATGGCTTTTCTTGATTATAGTCTGTACTGGAAAAAGTATCCTTACAAAAGTGAAATGTTGAGTTTGACACCACAAGCATCACATGCCTGCATTATCTGTAACTGTGCACACCAGGGCATCTCTGCCTCTCTTACACAGGATTCTCTTGCTCCTCAAATGCTGCTGAGCTGTATTTTCTTTGGCTGTGGTTCCACAGACAGGTAGGTCAAACACACATCTCTCCATTGCCCCTGTGCCACACCTTGACCTTTTCTGTGAGCTGTTTCAACTCACCCAGCAGAAAAAAACACCCCCTTCCTTTTAAACCCCAAGTTATAGTTTTCTCCCAGTCACTGAGTTTGATGAGCATGACAGTATCAAATCAGTTGCAGAAGCACATAGTAAGGAAGAGGGAGAAGGATGAAAGGAGAAAGAGACCTTCTCCTTTTTGTTGCAGCAACCTTTAGATTGGTTCAGCTCATTTCTTGAAAGTTCAGATTTGACTAAGGGATGTTGCACCATCCTCTCAGAGCAATGAAGAATTGTGATTTTCTTCAAAGCAGCAGCAGTATCTGTTGCTACTATTCCACATTCAAGATGCCCATCCAAAATGCTGAACAGCCATTTTATGTTATTTGTATAAATTTTATTTTAGCTGCTGTCTCAGAAGTGGTTCCATGATCACTTTGTAGCAAGGTTCAAAACAACTGTGCATAAATCATAAGCCAGAAGGATTTTAGCCAGTAACCCCACCCTGACAAAGAGAACAAGTCTCTGCTAGCATAGATTCAGCAAAAAGTATTTTTCAGGGTAGCATTGCATACCCTTTCTGTCGTGGAACTGCCACGTATCATCATCAAATTATCCTAAAGTATATGATTTTTGTTTTTATTGTAGCATTTTGGGCACAGAACTAATTAAGAGTCACTTTTCTTACAGTTCCCAAAATTAAAAAGCTAGGGCTTATCCTGAACTCAGGTATATTAAGTCAATAATATGCTTATCCATGCTGCAGTTAGCTTAGTTCTACTAATATACATGAAAGATTTTTCAAGCTGGAGCAGTTATCTTTATCGCTCCATTTTCCATTTAGAAGAAGCAGTTGACTTAAGTTCACAAAGACAAAAATGGGTGGAATTAAGTATACTGTAAATAAACAAGCAGAACCATGAAATAAAACTGAATTTACACACACCTCAGGAAGGTAACCGAAGTCACTCTGAAAAGCAGGACACTAGCAACTGCTGGCTGAGATCTGAACCCAAATCTCCCCCAAATCCATCTTCTGAAGCCCCTGAGGCCACATACCCACTCTACTTCTGACAAATGGTCTGCAGGAAGGTCTGTTGGCCACATATCTTACATGAATGTCATAATCACCACATGATTAGATCATTCTCTCCTCTCTAAATCTCAACTCACTCCCTGTGGAGGCTAATCTTTTCAACAAGATGAACTGAGAAAAGAACCTTCAAAATAAACTATAATAAATAGGACCCTCTGCTGATCCCTAATGAATGCACAACTTCTCTTGACTATTGGGATGTTGAGAGACCTAACCCGGGTTTCCCATAACCCACCCTCTACTGGGAGATGTAATCTGTGTGAGAAACAACAACTACAGCTGTTTGGAGTTATCTCAAAATTTAGATTTAAGGTTTATGTTTAAACATATCTGGAGATTCTCTGACTTCTTTAGCTTCAGTACAGTCCTTTGTAGCTTATCCCTTTAGGATCAGCTTTGTAAGCAGTTTGTGCACGTGCATAATGCCAGACGAGTAGATGCAAATGTTTTCACTGAAACAGCAAAGTAGGTGCACCATTACATTCTATTTTCAGACGCCTCAGTTTTATGTTAAATAAGGCTTTAAATTCACAGTTTCCTCAGAAGACTATCAGGGAAAAAAAACCGAAGTCAGAGAAACAATGAACAGTTTTAGCAGAAGCCACAGAACAACTATCTAGTTTTTAGGTTGAAACAGGAAGCTTCTACATTCTATTGTGAATGCCTTCCTGAAGTCTGAAAACAGATTTTCATAACTTAAACAGTTACTGTTCTTTGAATTTCACTTCAGATCTCACTGGACAACTAAATGCACTCACTATTTGCATTTTTAAAAATGTCCCCTCAGAATAAAACCTTTTCCAGTCGGAAGCATTTTGGGCTGCAAGAGTTGTGTGACAAGGTTTTTTTCCCAAGAATCTGAGAGTAGTAATTTCAAAGGTTTAGGATATAAGTTTACCTTACAGAAATTGCTGCTGTTTACATTGACATGTACAAGGCTGCTTATAATAATTTCAAGCTATGATCAGTTAATAGAAAGACTTTTATATTTCACATAAAATAGTAAGTTTTTAATAAAAATTTCGTGTGGTGAGAACTAGGTTCATCAAGAACAGTATCTATCCTGCAAATTTCTGGCATAGATTTTGAGGGTTATTTACAGTTTCAGACCTATTTTTGTATCTATATACTGTATTAACAGAAGATCTGCATCTTCAAAAACGTGAAAGTTCCTTTGCATCAACAGACCTGCAAGCTCTGCAGTAACATATGAAATTAAACATATTTAACCTATCATTTGTTCTGCTCCCTCAACACAGAACATCAAAGAGCCTGAAAGTGTCAACTGAAATAAAGAAAAATATGTCATTATATACTAATTTTCCTATATAAAAATAAGGAGAAAGTTCTTAAGCAAAAATGGTTCCAGAACAGAACTTGTTAGAGTAATTCATTTCAACCAGCTACTTGTTCAACTTCAAAGCCGTAGGAAAACAGAAGACATTTAAATAAAACTTCTTAATTCTATAACTCCTACGTATATTAGATATATTTAACCTGTCTAACCAGTTACTCAGCCATGTCCAAATGAGCACAGTACAAATAAGACACAATAGTTTCATTTTACATGCTGCCACGTACAGTATTATGCAACCAGCCAGTAAAACTTTTCTGCAACAGGAAAACAAAGAAACATTCATGGAGGGGGGGAAAAAAGTACAAAGCAGCAAGAGAACAATAAAAGAGGCATTTTTTTAATGCCTGTTTTATCTTGTTGCCAAAGGCACTCACACATGCAGACGAGCTGACCATGTATGTTCACCCCCTCCGCTGGAGAAGATTATGCAAGATGGTTTGCAATCCAGATTTTTACCTGTTGAAGCATTTCTTCTGTAGCATTCAGCTTCAACTGATGCCCCTCAAGACAGATTTCCAAGTCCCGGATTTTCTCTCCTTGAGCTTCCACCTGGTCTGTAAGAACACTCACCTGTAATTTGAGCAGAGAAGTATAATGCCACTGAACTGACTGTAAATAAGTTTCAATTACCTTACACACATAACATCCAAAGGCACGTTTTAACAGCAAGTTTAATATTCTTGTGCACTGCAGCAACCTGCTCTACCAAGATTTTTCAGTCTTACCTCTACTTTGCTTCAACCACGCCCTCTCATCCCCCCTCCCCCACAATTATTTTGTTTCGATATAAAAAAGAAAGAGCGTTTCTAGAAGAGATGGAATGCTACCCACAGGTAGGCATTTCATGCAAAAGTCTGAAAAATTAGAAAGCAGCAAACAAGAACATCGGATGCTGGAAATATTTTATGTGGTTTTGGAGCATACACTGCTATTTCAAGTTCTGTTGGCATTTCACCCCCTAAAACAGATAAATAGGAAAACTGTTCGTTCCGAAACCAACCAATTACTTTACTTCTTACAAGAAGAGAAAGCCAGCTTACCTATCAATAAAGCCTTCTGAAGTTATAAAGAAAGTAATGAGTAAAAGGCATGTTTTAGCAGTGACAAAGTTCTATTCCAAGAAAAATTCCCAGGCTTTGGCAAGCCAGAACACGAAACCAAAAGAAGTGAGATACAGACAATGAATCCCAGGAAAAGAAACAATAAGCAATACTGGTAAAGAACTGTGGGAATGGTGGTACAGACCAGTGTGTAATAAGAAAAGCCCAGTAGCTGAATTCAAAGCTTGCAAAGCAAAAAAAACTACGCCCAGGATAACACTGGAAAGACGTGGAAAAAAACCCCAGTGTTAATTCCTGTGTTAAGCAGCACATACTCTCTGTATGTTCATTTTCACTATTTATTTATATAAAAGCCTTGATTATACCAGAAAAATGTTATCTCAAACAAACAAAGAAAAGGAGCCTAAGGTGTTTAAACTCATTTTGAGGGAAATGCATTAACAAAACCTTATCCATGCTCTCATATCCAACACTGCAACACCTTTAATAAAAAAAAAAGAAAAAACAAAGGTACAGTATACCTAAGTGAAACTTTTAAGATGTACCCACTACACAGCATTTCTAAAACCCAGTGAACAACTGAGTTCATTTCAGGGAAGCTGCAGAGGCAGAGACTGAATGATCTTGTTTTGTTTTACCTGCAAACATAATGACAAGCATGCCTGGGAAAGGAACACAGAAAAAAAAGAAATAACCCAAAAAAGACTAATTCCCCCCCCTTTAAAGTAGTTGGCTGCAGCACAGAGTACAGATGAACTCAGGATGAGAGAAGATAGGAAGGAGTGGGTGGAGGCAGATGGCAGGGGGACACATCCAAGCTGGGGCAGGAGGAGAACTCCCTGCAAGGAAGTCTTCTGCTTGTCTGCTTTTCAGTTTTGCTCTCATTAAAACAGGGATGTCACACAAATGCCCCCTGTGAGGTCAGAAAGCAAGAAGAAACAGCCTGATGCAGGTTCCAGAGAAAGAAAACCAGCTCTGTTTAGAGTGTCAGGTTAGGTTCCAACCAGCACTGCAACGGAGAAGCAAAACTCTGTATGTTAAATGTGACCTGCAAAGGAATTCAGTAAAACCTTAGTAGCTTTAAAAGCATGTGTTGGCTGTTCCAGTAGTTAGGCTGAGAGGCACATTAGCCACTTTGAGCTCATATTTTCCCCTCTGCTCAAGAACACATCTGCCAGACTCTTCAGGGAATCAGTAGGCTGCACACAGAACATAATCCCAGTTTATGCTACCCTGCCAAGTCCATCTTGCCTTAGGAGGGCAACACCTGCAACACTCAGCCTGTAGGTAACATATTTTTCTGTGAGTATCTATAAAAGTGAGGCATACTGAACAATTAGCTAAAAAACCAAGTGGTATAGAGGTTAAAAACTTCTTTGCGAGAAAAAACCCAAACCAAAACAAAAAAAATCCCCCCCCAAAAATGCCTAAAGGAGAACATTAGCTTCTTCACATAGGCAGTGAGCTGTAAGAAGGTATCCCAGATGCTGTAGCATTCATTTCCAGCCTCCACTTCAGACTGAACAGTGGAAGTAGGTTTCCAGGTGCACTGTTTGACTCAGCCTTGGTGGACAGGAATAGTGAGCACTGCCTGTGCCCAGTACAAAGTGCCTTGTACTGCTGCTCATGCAGCAAGTCTGATGCAAGACTGGAGTGCTCCCAGCCTCATATTCCCTGCAGATTATTACAGCTGCAGGCCACAGTCATTAGCACAATTCAACATGAGCCATAGAATAGAGGTGCTCTGTTTGCCATTCCTTTCTCATCCTTCATGCCAATGGTCACACCCAGGAGCCAGGTTTGTACCAGCAGACTCCCTCAGGCCAGTGTAACCTCACCATGGGACTTGCCTGTGCTCCTCATATTCGACTGCCTAGACTGAGTATGCACAGCTGGTGCAAACCAGGTTCTAAACCCAGCACCATCGTGGCACCTTTGTTGTTGTTGTTGTTGATGTTCACCTACCAGACTGAGGTTTTTGTCTATCTTAGCCTGGGGCTTTTGCAATTCTACTGCAGTGCTGTGCAGCGGGAACAGAAAAATTCATAAATACTGACTAAGCCTTTTGATTTCATGGGAGGGTGATGGGAGTAAAAGGTAAGAGAAGGACAATTTCTACACCTGATTTTACTATATTTCTTTTAAGAAAAACTCTAGGCAGGTCTCCAAAACATGTAATAAGAATACCTTCTTTGTGCATTTGGCTTGCTCCATCCTTGGGTACCTATTTGTGTGGACGAAGAAATAGTTACTAAAAATCTATGGGACAAAGACAGGGAAAGCACACACTGAGCAGTAGCCTGGAGCAATCTTCAGGAACCTGTAAGCACTGGAGACTTGTAGTCCTGTTAAATAAACTTTGAACACCAAGACTCTGCCAAACCTGTTCAAGCCCACCAGCACCCACGACCATCGACCACTGGGTAGCACGAACAGATCTACAGAAAGATCACAGGACTAAACAGATACGTGAGAAACAAAGGAGGGTCTCACAAGCAAAGCCACAGGTGCACCAGTGCAACCCTCTGGTTTGGAGTAAACAGCTGGGTTTGGCCTCCTAATTGCTGCTCCAGTTACGAGCTGCTCATGTGCGCGAGTGAACTGGGAGAGACGTGAACGCACCGTGTGAAAAGTTGTTTGCTGTTACTAATGGAGTCAGGATGCAGGAGTTAACAGCCACTTGATTAATGAAAGGTGTTCTCACAGATATCAGTTGTGATGTTGCCTCCCTCAGAAAAAGGGGAGTTTGTAGCACACACTTAAACACCTAAACTCCAACCAGAAGTTTGCTTTTCGTTCAGGGCTGGGTTTTGTTTTTCCCTAAATTTGGCAATAGCAATTTTAGTTTAACAGTAATGAAGAAAATCCAACCAAGCCAAAGCTTGTGTCTCACAAAACATTTATTGTTTATTTAACAACAGCAGTGAGACTTCTGCTCAGTAAATGAACACAAGTGTGAACAAAACACACAGGATAAGACATGCTTACAGAAACTGGTGACTGAAACAGCTACCCAACATACTTAAGTTTTGTTTGATATAAATATTTGTGCTTATAATATGTTTTTGTAAGCAAGAAGAGAAAGGATAGGCAAAGACCACTTAAAGAATCTCCAGCTTCAGTTTTGAAAAGCATGGAATGTACAGTTCAGTAATAGCAAAAATATGCAGAAAAAAATAATTAAGTTTTTTTTAATTTGTTGAACATGCGTTTTCTCCAGGAGGAAAATTTATATGGGACAGAGGATCTGTTTGACAAAGGGTTGGTAAACTGAGAAACAGGAAACCTGGAGGAGCTTAGGCATGAATTTTAAAAATGTCATTTTTTTCCCCCCTTTATCTTCCCCTTAAGTTTTTTGATGATGTAAACAATTTTGGTACAGCATACAAGCAGGAAAAATAGCTGTTCTCTTTACACAACAGTCTTCCAGCTCACTAAAAATGGTGACACACAGAACCTAGAAAACTGGTACAGCTGAGCAAATCTAGAATGAGAACCACTATCACAGCAGTGTCTTGGGACTCCACAGCATTATTTTTCATCTCTCTGTCAGTCTCCCTCCTCTTAGTGCTGTTACTCCCCCTACCCCACCATGAAATCAATCAGAGGGATCATACAAATTATAAATTAATTCCTGATCAAATATCAGTTACATTTGGTGATCTGCTCACATTTGTATAACAGGAAATACTCTTTCACTTCATCATTTATTCACTGAACAGCAACTCTGCAGACAATGTTCTCTCTTTAGGACATACCTGCAGTATGAGCGACTCTTTATCACCTTCTAATCGTGCCAACCTTTCTTGATAAGTTTCATTATTAGATGGATGATGATTCACCTGTGACTGGGGAAAAAAAGTGCTGTGAGAATTTTTACAGTTAAAGTGTCAAGCAATATTTAACAAAAATTATATATATTAAGTGGGTTTTATGATACCAAAAATATGAAAAAAAAAGTGTCTACAGACCAAAACTGTTCATTTCATGTGCATTAAATGTACCTTTGAACATCTGAATGCACTTTAGCTGGATTTTAAATACTCTATCATTTGCAGCAATCAAGAATGGTATAGGAATAGACTGATATTTTCTATCTAATTAAAATTTCAATGAAAAATACCATCTTATCGAAACAAAACCCCTTTAATTTGAAATATCTGGTCTCGACACTCTTTTGACAAGGTCAAGGAATCTTGGTGTTTCAGTGGTAAAAACTTCCATAGGTATTGTGGCAGTTTGAGCCACATTAGAAATCCAAAATCCAATTCCTAGATATTACTGAAAGAAAAGTAGAATTTTTTTGTTAGCAATTAAAAAATTACCTAAATTATCAAATTCTCATTGGGAATTACTCTAGCCACATAATCACTTATGGATTGCTAAATGGCTCTAGGGAGTGAAACCTTCTAAAACATGGCCTGCTTCTAACTGTTAGGTCCCATTTCCAATGAATTTTAATACTTCAGATAGAAACACCACAATTAAAAAAAAAAATCTGCGGATGTATTTTAAAAAGTTTGGAAGAGTCTCATAGCCTTATCCTCCATACCAAACCATTGTGTAACTGCGGGAATGTTTGCTCAGAGCATCAAAAGTAACCTGAGCCCTCAGAGGTTCATTTCCCAGCTCCGTTGCAGGCAATGCATTTCTGCCAGGGAATGTAACACTGTGCCTGGCTTGTCAGCCAACCCAAGAATCCAACTTCAATGAGTTCCCTTCAACTGCACTCATCTGCAGCTGACTCCTCATTTATAGTTACTTGCATAATGGCACCAATATAATGATAATCCTCCTCCCCAACTGTCCTTTCTTTTTCAACTGAACACTTGTGAACAGGATTTTAAAAAAATATTAGCTATATACATAGCTTCTTGATCTACACTGAGGTCTACAGGCACAAATGTAACACATGATGAAAATACACGTGGTGCTAATTAATGCAAACCAAGAAATCAAATTTTTATTCAATCAGAAGAGACTTTTCAAGCCATAAAGTGCTAAACTAGATATAAGTATGGAATCTTTACAAGCTGAGAGAAACCAAGCACCCTTGTCTCTGATTAAGTTGAAAGAAATTGAGAGAATTACAAAAACACCAACAAACAGTGGTGAGAGATGTCTGAAGAGATCATCTCGTTCACTGTTCTATCCTAGGACCAATACTCTTGCTTGGATTACAGAGACTTTCCATCTTCTTCTTAGGTACCCATCATTAGAACATTTTCCTTAATGTCCAACCTGAATCATCATCTCTTCAACTTCAACCTACTGGTGCTTATCATATCACCATGGATAAAAGAAAGGTTCTTTACTTCAGAATTTTTTTTTAGTTATTGCAAGACTGTCTGTGGATCTCTAACTAGAACGTCCCCCTTCGGTTAAACAAACACAAGTTTTTCTGCCTTTTCCTCACAGGTTAATTTCTCAAGAACTGGTTTGTTGCTTTCTTTTGGTTCCTTTGCACCAATTGTTCCTTGACTTCTTTTGAAATTAAGTGCCTAAGAGGAGACACAGCACTCCAGCTGCAATTGGCTTCAGTGGAAAAGCCTTTTCACAGACCCTTGGGCCGTATTTCTTTCCATATTAACCATATAGTAAAACTCACATATTTTCAGCCTAGGACCCATAACTTCCAGATCCTTTTTTAATGCTCTTATTTAGCTGCCATCCTGTTCTTCACTCAGTGTTTACTTGCTGTTTCTGCCTGAATGTGTAACTTTGAGCTAGTCTACACTGAATTGCATCCTATTATTTATAAACTTTTCCTATGCATCAGGCTCTTATGTTTTAATCATGGCTGCAAGGCCCTTAACTAGAATCACCTATAAATTCACTAAGCTTTGTCCTTTGTCTCTGTTTAGAGGGTCAACAGGAACATTAAAAACAGGATGTGCAGAACCTCACTCCACACCTCACTTATTATTCCTTGTCAAAAGAAGAATATGTTAACTCTACCCAAATACACCTTTGTCACAAGGTTTTGACCAGTTTATAGCAAGTACAGCTAAGATTCAAGACCTAAGAGAAATGGCTCTAAACATGCAGATGTGAGTGCACAACATACACAAACAGAAGTCTTTGATAAAGTTTTACCGTGGCACCTGTAGGGAGATGGCCCATGCATTAAAGGAATGATGACCTCACTCACTATTTTTCTCCTAACTAGTTTTAATGTTTTAGAATTTCTATCCTCACAGTGTAATTTTTTCAAGCCTTGTCCTGTTATTAAGAAAAACCTCCACCCCTTAAACCCCCCTCCCAGTTTTCATAAAACATGTTTAACTTAGGCCCTCTGTATTGAGTTAGTCAGTCAGTCAGTCAGTCACTCTCTGAGGTCTTAAAGTTTGTTCCTTACTAATTTTTGTGGTACTGTAATGAAACTAGACATTCTTTATAAGTAAACAGTATGCATTTCTGTATGTCTGCCTAGACAAACCTTTGACCTCAGCTCTGCATCCTCAATCATCCTGCCAGACATCCCGCCTGGGTCCTTACTCCACAAAGAGAGCAAAGTCTTACACTGCACTTAAGAATCCAAAATCTTTAGCCTTAGCAGCTATGTTTCCATTAGGGTTAAGACTTCATTACATGCCATTAAATGAGTTTTCTCAACGGAGAGCCCACCAGCCTTCCCCAGTATATCTCTGGTTCACATCCAGTGTTTGGGGAGGCTTTCCTGCACCTGGAACATCAAGTATTCAGGGAAGAACTGCATGTTGCTAGGCAGGAAAAGTGTCTCCTAATTCCAGAACCTAATCAAGTAGATTTTGCACCCTTTCTCCTGCCATCATGTGCTATTTTTTCAAGGTTAGATTTAAGAAACATACCTGTAACCACTTGTGCAAGCATTACTGCCAATGCATTGTTACATAAACAATCTGCCGCCAATGCAAAGTGGAGTTCAACATTTTTTATAATCCATAATTTAGAATTAGTTCAACACAGAATCAATAGATATTTCACTACATACCAATGTAAAGCCTAGTGAATCACCCATGGAAACAGAAAAGGGGGAACAACACTACACCAAAACATCAACCCTGCCCATAGGTCAGTGAGACAGGGCTCGAATAAGTACAGGAAAGTACAGTAGACAGAAGAATGACCTGCTAGATAAAAGTGTCTGATTGACACCCAGCAGTTGTTTCAGACTTGGTAATTCTTTGTGGCATGTATAAAGACAAGATAAAACAATGTAACATGAACCAAGGCCATCTGTGGATGGCTGGAGTACATTCTGCAGTTGTGAAAGTCAGCACTGAGAGGAAACAGCAAGTGTAGTTACGTGTCACACGTATCAGCAGCAACTGAATAAAGGACTTGTAACACTAAAGACATAAGGCTATGGATGAATTCCAGTTGGTGTAACAGTTCACAAACAAGAAACACAGGTCATGTGGTTGCACAAGTCTAAAAGGTTGAATCAACAAGATTTTCTACAAAGCTAATATTTCAGAAGATGTAGCATCAAAGACCAAAAATTGTTACCTGGGCTTGACAAATTATAAGTTAACGTTAATATTAATTATGTTTCTTATAATGAAAGAATGAGAGAAATTGCATAAAACATGTAAAGAAGTTCATGATAACACATGATAGCAAAGTAGAAGGAAAGATATGCTAAGGCAAGGTAGCTGAAAATATGTTGATGGTAGTACCACTGCAGATGAAAAATCAACTGCATACCATAAATACTTTGCCTCCAGGAATCCTTAACCAGCAACCAGCACCTCCTCCATTTGCACCATTAAACCACGTCCTCAAGTGCCATATCTACACATTTTCTGAACTCTTCCAGGGATGGCGTCTCCTTTATGTGAAGAAATTTTTCCTAATGTCTAACCTAAACCTCCCATGACACAACTTGAGACCATTTCCTCTTGTCCTGTCACTTGTTATCTGGGAGAAGAAACTGACCCTCACGTCACTACATCCTCCTTTTAGGCAGTTGTGGAGAGCAATAAGGTCTCCCTTGGGCCTCCTTTTCTCCAGGCTAAACAGTCCCAGCTCCCTCTGCTGCTTCTCCTAGGACTTACTCTCTAGACACTTCACCAGCTTTGTTGCCCTTCTCTGGACTCGTTCCAGCACCTCAATTCCTTCCTTGTCCTGAGGGGCCCAGAACTGGACACAGCACTCAAGGTGTGGCCTCACCAGTGCTGAGTACAGGGGGACAATCACTGCTCTGGTCCTGCTGGACACGCGATCCAAGCCAGGATTCCACTGGCCACCTGGGCACACACTGGGCACACATGTTCAGCCACTGTTGACCACCCATGTCCTTTGCTGCCAGGCAGCTTTCCAGCCACTCTACCCCCAGCCTGTAGTGCTGCCTGGGGTTGTTGTGACCAAAGTGCAGGACCCGGCACTTGGCCTTGTTGACCCTCATACAACTGGTCTCAGCCCATTGATCCAGCCTGTCCAAATCCCTCCACAGAGCCCTCCTACCCTATGAGCAGACCAACACTCCCACCCAACGTGGTGTTACCTTCAAACTTTCTGAGGGTGCACTAAATGCCCAGGCTGTCCACGAAGATGTTCAACAGGGCTGGACCCAACACCGATCCCTGGGGAACAGCATCCGTGACTGGCCACCATCTGGATGTAACTCCATTCACCACCACTCTCTGGGCCCGGCCATCCAGCCAGTTTTTACCCAGTGAAAAGTACACCTGTCCACACCATGGGAAGCCAGGAGTTGCAAAGCAATTTCTTGAAGCACCTGCATTATGGTCTCCTTAGAGATTTTGGGTATACTTTAACGCGCATCATACTGCAAAAGATATTAGCACGAAAAGTTTCCTGAAACAATTCCAAATCAACTGACTCGCCCAGTTCTAGAAAAAGA